GATAGGGTCAGCGCCTTGTGTGGCCATCAGAGGCAGAGTGCAAGCAGATCATTTTTGGGGGTTTTCAAATTGCGCAGGAGCCCAGTAGGTCGCGCGCCGTAAGCGACCATGGCCTTGCCCATGCGCAGTTGCTCGGGCTCTGGGCTGATGGACCATGGTTCAGGTTATTCGTACCTTTGTCTCCTTTCTCAGGCTCTTCGCCGGGCATGGTGACGTCAGCGAAATGACGGTTGGAGCAACTCAATGGGGAACGTGCTAGAATGCAAAGAAACGAGGGCAAATTGATCGCCAAAGCTTTGCGACCAGAATACCGGGTGCTTAGAGATGAACACAGGGGATGGAGGAGTGAGAGGAGAATAAACAAGTTCAACGAAAGAGGAGGTGTCTGGGTCAGCTCGAAGGGGGGGAGAGCAGGACGCATTATTGCCTGCGACACGGCCCATCAGCGCCCATGGCAGAGCCAGTGGTTTGGCTTTGGCTGCGGGTGAAGAGCTTGGTTTGACTTGGTTTTTTGCGGGCTGCCTGCGCTGCTGGGCTGCTGGGATGGTTAAGCGAGAGAGCCTAGTGAGGCCCCCTTCTTGGTGACACTGACCTCCCCCAGCCTCCCCCCCTTAAGCCCATTTTTAGAGGAGCTACAGCAGCCCGTACCCGGAGCAGGCGGGAGGAGAGCTGGTTGTGTCTTGTTTCAAGGAGGCAATCTCCTAGCCAACACCGCATGCGCCAAACTAGATGCCCATGACCGCAAACCCTCAGCCGGATGCTTCCATTTCGGTTCACCAGCAGCGACATCCGTTGCACGTCAGTACTGACAGTGGCTTGTTTTAGCTTGGGATGCGCGGAGGAAATCAATTTGCATCTGAGATCTGCCCCATGCTGCTCAAGCCACGCTGCTGCTCTAGGTCCTGCTTGAACTTTGGGGTATTGAATCCTACCTGGATAACTGTGGCGACTAGGGATACACCCCAGACAATCATTTTGCTTTGGATGCGATAGTTGATTGTGATGATGTGAGTGGTATAACACCATACATTGAGCACAACAATCAATGCTGCAGATAGTACAAGTTTATATGTGACTGTATCCCACAGGGCGCAACCTTGGATAAGAAAAGTAAGTGGAAGTAACAGAAGATTGGAAAATTGTTTCTCGTTCAAAGTAGGTAGAGTACATGCCGACTTCTGAGTCGTACATACCACCCATCTGCCAATTTGCAGTATCTGCTTACATACTCACCAGATGAGTCCCTGGTATTTATTCAAAAAATCAGACCTCAAATTGAGACTCAATAATCTCCGATAAATACGCCTTGGATGAAAAATCCACCAGCACCGAGACAGCTTTGCTAGTCCTAATGCCTAGATTCCACCCATATTCCCACCGATTGAGTGTAACCCCTCCGCCACAGGTTCCTAGTTCTACTCACACATGCCTGTAAAACTCATCTATGGGTTGGGCCCGCCACGGACTTGGCTGGTACCGTCCTCTGGACCTGGAAGACCTTCTTCGTCACCAGGCTCACGGTATTGGCCCGGCTTCGCCGCTCCACGTGTACGCTCGTCAATGATGTTACTTTCGTCGATTGCATCGGCGTCATCACGAGCTGTGTACTAGAATCAGCTTCTGCATCTATATCTAGCGCGCAGACACTGGTTCCTAATGAGGTGCCGTAACAGAGGCACTTACCCAGTTGCTCATCAGAGTCAGCCGTTTTGGCGTCAATGGGATCTTCAATTGCAGCGTCGTCGCTCTGCACTGGAATGTGGCTCTGGCCAGTACGCGACTTGTAGTCGTTTTGCGTCGTGTCAGCAGTGGTGCCGCTTTCGAGCCCCTCGCCGGTGGGCTGGTATTCATCTCCTGGGGCCGACATATTGCGATTTATCGAGTGGATTTGTTGTTGTTGGTTCAAATGTAGAGACAAAGTGGTGCAGTCAAGTATCGGGATCAGAGAAATGAGATTGTTGCAAATCTTTGATCTGGGTTTATATGCTCCTGGAGGTGTCATTGAAGGCCCCTTCACGACATCAGTCTCACAATATCATCTGCATTTCGGTCATGTCCTTGTCGTCATGACCCCAGAACATTTCACGCTCCCTACGCTTACGTCCAGTAGTCTATCGACAAAGTCGTGAGGTCATGAACCCATGTCACTATCAGCTGGGTTGAGAACAGTGACGAAAGAATGAGCTAGGGAAGCTAGGAAGATGAGGATCTGATGAAACCAATCGTGATGATTCCATTGGGGGCTTATACGCAGCAATTCAATTCAGGTACGATCTCGACTCCAGGTGTGCTGGCGGAGACCATGGAGACCAAGGGAGACAGGCAAGGCGCAAGGCGCGAGGCTGTCAATCGGTACCCAATCATATGATACCAGCTCCGGAACCAAGCAAAGTCGTCGACGTCAAGACTTCGGATGTTCCTGGGGCACTTGGCCTTGTCGATCTGGCAACCAGGTCCTAGAAAAGTCGATACACTTTACTAGAACCAATATCGAGATCTGGACATGTGCATCGCCAGGGGCATTGGCTGCGGAGGTGAGTCCCGCCCAGGCCATTACATACTTGTGAATGAGACTCACATTACCAGGTTGGCCTGCTACCTGTTCAACATCGTGCAGTAAAGCAGGCAGGCTCCGTTCTTGGACAAGGTAGTGGTATGATGTTAGCTTTGCCTGGCCAGTATGGGTAAATTCTTACTCAGGTAACCATCTTCTTTGCAGGGTGATGACCTCAATGTCGAGATGCGGTTCAACCACAGAAGGGTTGAAAGACTGGAAAGCTTGTGTACTACTTTTTCACTTGCAGAGGCTATGAGAGGTACTCGTGTCCTCCGTGTCGACAAAATGACACTGTATTCGTCCCCTGCTAGCTTTCCAGCCTCCTTTCTGGAAGTGTCAAAAGAGTGAGAATTTCAGCCTTTACACATGCAGTTGGTAAATGGCTAGAAAAGCAAGGCGTAATAGACGAGGCATATGTATTCGCTCAATTTTGGTACAGATTTCTGGGACTTGAACATGGGAGTCGTGGGGAAACACTCCCCAGGCCTGGGTTGCTTAGCGGTGTCTATTAACCAACAAACAATACAGGATATAACCTCCGGGAAATATAGGCCCCCATCTTGTATCACTCTTTTGTGGAGAGCAGGCGGCGCTAGTGGCTCATCGGGCCAAGGGAGCAAGGCGAGTCAATAGATCGCAAGAGGAGAAAACCTTCTGTCCGACTATTGTTAACGGCCCTGCGGCCGTACTTGAACCACAGACGGAGAACTTAAACAGTTCACAAAGAGCAAATAGGTCTATCCACTCTTCAACCGAGGCGACTGATTTCTCAAAATCGACGGACTTTTGAGAACCGACTCTCCAAGGCAACATCCTATGCCCGGCTCGTCACTATGGCTCATCGCCCGCAAGGACGATGAACCCTTCAACAAGTCCCTAAAAGAACTGATCGGGAGTACACTCCCATCGAACTTTCCCCACGCGCCCAAGCTGAATTTCATCCCGCATGTGACCATCACCTCGGACATTGACCCGTCAAGAACCTACGGGGATTCATCTCCCCAAAAGTGGCTCGATGGACTCAGCCTGCCCGAGTTCAAAAAGGAGTCGGACGAGGTGCACGTGGAGCTCGAGCAGCTCGAAGCCGGCGAGCCATTCTTTAAGAAGGTGACCATCCGCGCCGCCAGGGGTGAGAACCTGCTCAAACTCGCCGCGGCGTGTCGACGGCAGGGTGTCTTGCTCAGTGAAGCCGACGCGCAGAACTGGGCGCAGACTGAATATCGTCCGCACCTGAGCCTGTTCTACGGCGACGTGCCACAGAGCGAGGTGCAGAAGAAAATCGGCCTGATCGAGTTGCAGCTCGGCTTTGAGTTGGGCAGTCTCTTCGATTGTTGCGGTGGCACATTGGCCATGGGCGCGAAGCTCGTGCTGGTGGACACGAGCAAGGGCATCGAGGACTGGACGCCCATTGCGGAGAGGGACTGTCCTTGGGTCATGTGGAAGATGGCCAAAGGTCTGTTGTGACGGATGGAAGAAGACCCCTTCTACTTCGCCTGGCGCTGCCTATATACAATGTGTGTTTTCATGAGAGCCGACTTGCTCGATCTTTACGTGTGTCTGAATGATTTCACGCTCTCGGTTCACACTCTCCGGTTGTACCATATATCTCAGCGTGGTATGGACTCAAGCGCAACTCAACACTTGGTTTGGTTGATTCATGGGTCAACTGACTTCACCATGATATTTAATGCTGGTACCTACAATACGTGGTCCTTTTGTGAGATTGGGTTCCCTGCCAGGCGAGGAAAGGTAGACTCCTTGTTATGGAGAGATCTGTTTGGCGACGGTCATATACATATGTACCATCGTGTACCAATGGAGCAGGCACTTTTCCCAGATCACACACCCGCCTTCACGAGCAAGGAGTTCTACATGATGTCTACTCTGTGCGTGAACTAGACCGGGCGAACAACACATGCAATATTACCGAGGTATGTATCGAATCTGTGTTCCATTTCTATGAAAGACAATGGCTTGGGAGACCTTGGCCATGCGGGGGACTGGTTGGAAACAACCACCCAGAAACATCCACAGCATAAACGCCGCATCTATTATCGTCCAGTGAGCTTTGGCTTACCAAAAAGATGGTTCCCATGGGAGGCTCTCTAGCCTGGCGCTTCCCGACCACGCTGATGCTCAGATGGACAAGCCTTGTTTCCCCAGACTTTGCACTGTCAGATATGTCCATGTCAGCATCACATCGCGCCAATCGTGCAGCAGGCCATCTTCATTAGGATATCCGCATCATGCCTCCCAGAAGAGCTGTGCTTGTTCGGGATGGTCGAGTGCTGTATTCAACCTCGGGTTATTGTCCTATTGCTTCTGAGAGTCGAGACGCGCTTCACCATGCCAATGCGGTTGTCGTTCCTCACAAATAGTAGGAAACACCCCGTGGGTGTACAGGATCAATCAAATCCCAGTGCAATCTTCACACAAATCACTCATGGCATCCTCACAGGTCCATCAACTCGTCGTCAGACTCAAGTCATGTGTGCAAGACACAAGGCCAGCCGATCTCGCCCTGGTCGCGCTGGCAGCTGTCGCTCTCACTCTCCTGACCACATGTATTTACCGACTCTACTTCCACCCACTCGCACGCTACCCTGGGCCGTGGTATATGAAAGTCACTTCGCTGTATGATTTCTACATTGGTGTCGGGGAGCGCAGACATCTCCATATCCATCATTTGCATCAGAAATATGGTACAAACCCCAGAGGCTGAGCCATAGAAACCTGCCGACTTTCTGACTTTGTCTGATGCCTGCAGGCCCCGTGGTTCGGTACAGCCCGAATGCTTTGGCCTTTAACGATCCCCAAGCCTTTCGAGGTGAGATCGAAACTCTGTCATCACCCTGGGAAACTATAATAAGTTGAACCCGTGTAGATATCTACGGGTTCAAACGCAATTTTCGGAAAGCAGACGCCACGACCGTCGGCGCTTCTGGCCACCCGGACGCACGAAATACATTCAGCGAGCCCCTGACAGAAAACGCTATGAAGAAGAGAAGGATCCTGTCACAGGGTTTCTCGGAGTCTGCTTTGAGAGATGCTGAAGGTTGGGGCGACTACCCCTTCGCTGAAAGACATGGCGACTGACTTTCCCGCAGAATTCATGATTGAAAAGATCCAGATCCTGTGTAAACAGCTGATCAACCCCGAGACAGAAAAGGCCAAAGACATGTCGCTGTGGTTGAATTACCTGGCCTACGACATCATGGGCGAAGTCGTCTTTGGGAAGAGCTTCGACATGTTGACGAACCCGTCCTTGCGCTATGTGTTGGACTTGATCGATTCCATGGTGTTTTCAACTCTCCTGGTAGGATTCGTCTGACTGGTTTTTGGAGGGCATTTTGCTCATTCTCGGCCTAGGGAGGCATCGCACCCTGGATCTACAGGAGTGGTTTGATCAACGTCCTCTTCCCGCGGCTCCTGCGTACCCGCACCAAATTCATCGCCTACGTGGCTGGTGTCGTGCAGAACAGAATTGCAGCCGAAGCTGATGCCGCCGCCCAAGGACGACGCAAGGACTTTTTCCATTATGTATGTTCCTCCCTTCCCTGATGAATGCTATCAAGCATCGGTCGTTCCATTTCAGAATAGTCCTTGAAACTAACGCACGGAAACAAAGCTGCTCAACGCCAAAGACGCAGCCACGGGCAAGCCGTTGCCGATCGAGTTCCTCTTCTCCGAGGGCGTCTTGTTGGTCGTCGGCGGGAGCGACACCAGTTCTACAGGCAAGACTTGATACGACCTTACACCCCATGGCACGTGGTCTGACTAGGTACATTGTCTCACACAGGTCTAGCCGCCACCCTTTTCTATCTGCTCAAATACTCCCAGTGTATGGAGAGGCTGCGTCAAGAACTCGACGCCAAGTTCGACTGCGTCGATGAGATCAGATCAGGCGCGAAGCTGGCTAGCTGTGTCTACCTTCGAGCTTGTGTGGACGAGGCGCTGCGCATGGCACCTCCAGGTCCTGGATTACTTCCCAGGGCGGCCTTGAAGGTGAGAAAAGACGCTGGATATTATTGCTTCTTGCTTGCGCGTCGGACAGTCGCCGTTTGAGGGTCGACTAACAATGGTTCACCAACAGGGCGGAGAAACCGTGAATGGAGAGTACATCCCAGAAGGTGTAAGTAGTGTTGACTCTCATTGCGGCCGTGTCGAACAGAAATTGACTCGCTGTCTATTTCTACGTGTAGATTGACGTCGGCGTCGGCTGGTGGGCCCTTGCGTACAACGAAAAGTACTTTCCCGAACCAGACATGTTCCGACCAGAGCGATACCTCACGAGTGACGGGAGTACGGACGAAGACACCGCTACGGCAAAAGATTGCTACTGGGCGTTTTCCATGGGGCCCCGAAAGTGTCCCGGCATCAAGATGGCGTATCAGGAACTCTACATCACGATTGCGAGGCTGGTTTATCTTTTCGATATGCACCCGGAGCGGCCAGAAGAGTTGCAGAAGAACTTTGAGCTTCTTGATCATTTCAGTAAGTGGGATATCACCCCCGACCATGTAATCTCTGGAGAGATATTGATGAGTGGCTAGATGTCAGGAAGTTTGGGCCCACGGTGTCGTTCACACTGCGTCCAGGGAGAGAACTCTGAGTTGGTGGGTCGGTTTACTATCGACATCTTCTGTCAATATTGCGTTGTCAATGTTCAAAGCCGAGACCAGCGGCAGGCTGCTCCTCTGCGGAATCGACGTGAAAACCATCAAATACCTATTTTAGGATCGGAATTGACACACCGTTATAAATAAGCACGCCATCACAATACCGTTGTGTGAATACCAAAAGGAGATACAGAATAGAGATCAACCCCAGAATGTAAGCGTGTTCCAAGACTGTTGGCTGGGGGATTCTAACTGTCGGTGTTTTGACATCTCCTGGAAAAGCGTTCACTCGGCTACGAGACGATGTTGGCTGTTTCATGAGTGATGGAAGGACTTCAAGCCAGAGGGACATGAAGCAGCGTAGAGTTGCTGGCCCAATCGAGACCTAGAAGCGCAGATTTTGCTGGGAGAGATCGACTCTCAGGCGCATATAGCACTAGTATATTACGAGCCTTGATATTTGGAAGGATCTTTGCTCTCATTAAAGGGCTATGAAGGGTGTCAAAGTTCATGTTAGAGAGTAGGAGGGAGAAAAGAGGAAGTAGCCTTGGTGGACCCTAGACAATCACATGATGGCGCGTTTAGAAGCCTCGGACGCGATCGCGGGGAAACTCGTTTGTTGCATCTCCTCGTTGCCACTGCGGCTTCAATTGCGCCAGTCGAATCGATACAACACAACAACGCAATGCTGGGCGGACACTACTGTCGCTATTGTGTATCCGCATGGGTGTGCAGCATGTCTGGCTGACTTCTGCGCTGTGGTTTTCGCCCCGGGTAAGATGGCTGAAGACTGTGCAAACCCGCTGCTGGCGGGATGGCTGAAGGAATGGATGGATGAAGCAAAAGAACGCAACAGTAAAGGCTACACTGTGTATCGCTACCCTCCTTTCCCATATCTCGTGTGTAGATTGTACTGACAATCCCAGTTACAAAAAAGCATATCAATCCATCAAAGCGTGCCCCCTGGCTTTCAGCCACCCCTCCGAAGCCCAACAACTGAACGGCCTGGGCCCTAAATTATGCGACCGACTTACGGAGAAACTCAAACAGCATTGCGAGCGGAATGGTCTAGTTATGCCAAGCAAGAAAGGCCGGAGGAATAGGACATCAGAAGACTCGCCGCCAGATGAGGCCCGACCGGACGAAGCAGAACAGTCCTCGCCAGTCCGAAGGAAGCGGAAGGCTCAGCCATATGTTCCAAAATACAGGTCTGGCGCTTATGGATTGATAGTCGCTCTCGGCACCTTGGACCGCGAGAGCAATCAGGCCATTCCGAAACCCGACCTGATTGAACTGGCACAGCCTCACTGCGATGCGAGCTACACGGTCCCGAGTGACCCCACGAAATTCTTCACGGCGTGGAAGTCTATGCAAACATTGGAGTCAAAAGAGCTTGTGTGCACCAAGGGCCACCCGACGAAACGATATTACTTGTCCGATGAAGGATGGGAAGTCGCGGAAGGTATACAAGCGAGCGCCGGCGGTCGGCCTGGGGCGGCGAAGAAGAAAAAAAATCAGCGGGAAACTACATCAACTCGTCGCGTGAACGCTTCAAGAACCGTCACCCCAGAGCCTGAAAAGCGGCAAACAGCTTCGGCTGCCCCAGTACAACCCAGCCGACTTGCCGGCGCTGCAGCTCGTCGAGCTTCTGATGACTTGGAAGTATTATCGATTTCCGAAAACGACATGCCTGAGACAGACCCGGAGACGAGGTTCGTGCGCTCTGATGGCGGAAAACTTGGTCGAGGACCGACAGGTTCCAACTCCTCCCTTGAGGATACAGTCACCTTGCCAGCAGGAAGCTTCGAGGTGAAAATGGTGCTGGATATGCGCGAAGTTCGCACAACCACTGACCGAGATTATATCTCTGGGGAGCTGAAAAAGCATGGTATCACTGCGACCATTCGCTCACTTCCACTAGGTGATGTCTTGTGGGTCGCAGAAGTAAATCCGCTCTACACTAATAGTCTCAAGGCAGCAACTGTTGGCGACGAAGGCGACGACAAGGTAGAAATCGTCTTGGAACACATCCTGGAGCGCAAGAGGCTCGACGACCTGATCAGCAGTATCAAAGACGGACGTTTCCACGAACAGAAATTCCGACTGCACAGGTCCGGGATAAAGAATGTGACTTACCTTATTGAGGAGTACTCGATCTCTTCCGAGAGAAGTGAGAAGTACGGCGATGCACTGGAAAGCGCCATCGCCAGTATGCAAGTGGTCGACAACTTCTTTGTCAAGCAAACAACAAAGCTGGACGACACGATCCGTTATCTTGCCCGTATGACCAAAACCCTCAAGGGACTGTACGAGAGCAAGGACATCAACGTCATCCCTGCTCAAAGCTTCGAAGCCGAGGCTGTTTCATTATTGCTGGAGCGGTTCAGAAAGAACTCTCCTGGGAGGGCCTTTGGCATGACATTCTCGGTATTTAGTGCCATGTGTGACAAGTCGGAGAGCATGACGCTTCGAGATGTCTACCTCAAGATGTTGATGTGTATCAGAGGCGTGACTGGGGAGAAGGCAATTGAGATACAGAAAATCTGGCCGACGCCGCGTGCTCTGGCCGAAGCTTTTGAGGCGCAAGAAGAGGGAAATGCGCGGGACGCGATGATCAGCGATCGTCTTGGGTCTACCATCCCTCGGAAGAAGGTTGGGAAGGCATTGAGCACCAAAATTGCAGAGATTTGGGGGTGAAATGTGTCGTAAAGTGGCCAAATTGCTACGATGTTTATGACTTTACGGCAAGTCGCAACTCCTTTGGTCCGTTTGGGCTTTGCACCTGCAAAGGGAATCGAGGAGGTTACATACTGGGCAGTTTGGGGCGGCTGAAACGCTCACCAGACACGTTGAAATATCACCAAGTATACTACAAGGGAATAGTTGTTCGTATTCGCACCAGAACGGAAGCCGGCACCAGAACCGATCGAGCACGAGACCCGACGACGAAGCCTTGACCAAGCAACTGCAAGCCTTTCCTTGCGTTTGCTGGTCCGCACCGAATCAAGGCTTATGGTGGTGTCGATCAGGCCTTCCCCATGCATCCCATGTCTATCTCTTCCCCACACACTCACCTACACACACACACACGGGACAATATCTGGCGAGTGAGCAATTGGGTTGGGGGCCATGAGGCGGGGTTAATTGATCGACATATTACTACCTACTACGTACCCAGGTGTGCATGGTATGTCGGACACTGGGCGACGCTACTATTAGCACTACGACATTGAGATCTTCTCTTACGAGTCCCGTTGGTGCCGTTGGTTCCTTTAAGGATCAAGGGTCCGTCGAGGGGACGCCACCACCATCACTACTAACTACCACTCCCTCGTATTTTCATCGTCCACCGCACTGTACTGTACTGCTGCACCACGTCACCAAAGGTGCTTTGAGGTCCAGATCTTAATTCGAGTCGAGTCAGGCTCTTTTCTTCTCTTTGCTGGGTGGGTTGACCCAGGAGTAATCTTTCGTCGTATCGTGGATCTCTGTCACGCACAAGGTGGGAGACAAGTCAAGACAAGTGTCTTGGAGACCAACCCAGGGCTGCGTGAAATGTGTATCTCGGCCTTGAAAGGGCAGAACACGGGATCACAGAGACGAGTCTCGATATTGTAGGATTTCTGGTCCTCTCGAGTTGAGAAAGAGTCAAGGCGGCGTACACCCACCCGCGAACCCACCTACTCTTCGCCGCAACTCCTGCCTCTCGAATCGTTCAAGCTACATATCTCTATCTCTTCGACAGAGCCCAACTCGCAGGCATTCGAGCCCTCTCCAGAGAGAGCAATGCTGGGTATTGAAGGGCTCTCAGACGCCTCCTTCCGTGGCGATGAGCGCTGGAGAAAGGCATCCAAATGGACGGGCTATGCACCGTGGGTGGTGCTTGCGATTGGTATCCTGAGTATGGTCGAGATCGCACTCGGGGCGGTATGGATTGCTTCGTTGACCACTGATCTGAACTTGTAAGTAACCACATCCTCGTTCCTCTCTGGGAGATGATGGCTAACACAAAAAACTTCCTATTCAGCGGTCAAGTCATCCAGCCCATCCTCATCCCAGGTTTAGCCTTCTTCAACGCCATCCCATCCCTCCACTTACACGTACTTGCGAGGGTAAACCCACCTCGACTGGCGCTATGGTTCTCCACGACGCTCTCGATCGTCCATTTCGTCAGCTCCATCCTCTTCATGGGCGCCTGTGTCGGGAACCACTCGCACGGCTCGCTACAGCGCAACGAATGTCCCGACGCCACAGGCGGGAATGAAGACATCTGGGACGTCATGGTCGCGCTGCAGTTCGTCAGTGCGGTGCTCTACGGCGCGGTTGCGGCCATGGCTTGGAAAGTCAGGACAGTGGTCGAGGCGAGGGACGAGAGGATCGCCCAGGGGGTGGAGATGGTCAGCGAGGAGGAGAAACAGAGACGGGAGAGTGAGGCGCGTGAGAGGTGGAAGTATCTTTCAGCGGGTTAGGCACGATAAACAATCTCACAGTTGAGAGTTGAGACGGGAAGATGGGTTCCTTGTATGCTGGCGTCTTTCACGGGACGAGATATATGTGGTGCGTCAAAGAATTGGGGCATCTTGGATATGTATCGCACTCATATTTTGTAACAAGAGTTAATGTTGTTTGTTGTTGGACATGGATAACAGCCATATGAAATGGGCATATTCAAGATCCAGTAATGTGACTGAACTGGACATGGCCACGCCGCTTTATGTCAGAGTGATGACGTCTGGCGTCGGGCGTTAGAGCGGCGGGATATCCTCCCCCAAACAAGGTCCCCCGTCAAGCGAAGATGCATCAACCACCAGCCTCAGGCAAGTCGTTTTTCTCCACTTGTATCTTGCAGCCGAAGTTCCATTCCACTTTGGGTGTTTTGTTTGCACCTTGGACCCAACTACTCGCCGTGCAGTCTTTCGCGTGTGCTTTGCGCTGGGATTTCCGTGCCAGATGGGTTCACAACTAGGAATTTCACAGAACTGGACAGGGTAGCATGCGCAGAGGGCAGCATGCAACTCCACGCGACATGTCTCGGAACAAAGAAAATAATCCTCTTTCGACGGCCCAGCAGCAGCAGCAGCAGCGCACAGCGGCGATCGCATCACTACACAGAACATTACCCAGCGACGAGTTCTTCACCGACAGCTTGATCGACGACTCCCGCATCTCAAATAGCTCGTATATTCCGTCGCCGGTCAAGTCGGGCCCCGTTAAGCCTCGACGCGCGCTCGGCGCGAGCAAAGTGTTGCAGATAGGAAAAGACTCTGGCAACAGGACCAGTCGCACCTCGCTGTCCGATTATACCGCGGCGCGGACCAGCAAACAATTGAAGCCTTCGCCGAAGCTGACCAGGAGGAAAAGCCCCAGCCCGGCGCGAACAAATGGACTCTCGACTCCGCCGCATGCCAGACACGATCCCCGCCTCACCAGCCCCCCTCCTGAGTTCTCCAGCCCGCCGGGTGGTCTGCACGAGTCCTACCAGAGAATAGCTGACGAGGAGGATCTGGCCGCGACGGAGAGGGATGTGGACAGCGAAGAGGAGGAGATCGATGGCGGCGACCAGCAGGATACATTTGAGACAAATCTGGACGTGAACCCTAAAGGAGATGGAATGGCCACGGAACAATCAGAACCGGCGCAATTTTCGCAACAGCTGACGCCGGTTCGATCTCCCTCCCCAGCTCATGCAGAAATACAAAATCCCATGGATGACCGGGTCGAAAGTCTCTCAGAGCCGCCAACCTTGGATTTCCTCAAGAATGAGCTTTCCGATCGGATATTGGCTGCCAAATTGACACCTCACGTCGTCGATCGCGCAAAAGATCGCGCAAGACTGGAGAAGCTGAGACAGAGCCGAATCCCAATCAACTTTGGAGAAAAGGGCAAGGAATATCAAGTAAACGGGGAGCCCCGACGGAGTGATCTCGCAAGCGTTACAAGCCGTGGTCCGATCTCCTTCGACAACGTCTTAGCTGTGGATGCGAACGCCTTGCACAGGACCTACTCAGATACAAGTGCCGATCTTGATCCTCAAAGAAAAGTCAAAGCGTTCAGGCGCGCAACGCGTCCTGGTGTCGCCCAAACCGCACCTGAAGATGACGATGGAAGCGACACACCTCCGGAACTGCGGGAAAGGGAGAGATTGGTCGCCTTCAGTAAATACAGTCGGAAGAAGAAGGAAGACAACGAACAAAGTGAAATACCGAGACCAGCATCGGTACCCAAGGTCTCGGCGTTTTCACGTGCGCACGCTCGTCCTCGTCCTCATGGGACGCCGTCCGAGGTAATTGACGATCAGGTACAACCCGATGACCCTACAGTTGCGTCTATCGCCTCAACGGTATCCGAGCCTCTTCCTGGGACAACTCAACAACCTGATAAGGATCGAGCTACGCGGAACTTTATTGCTAGATGGCGCAAAGAGGCTGCAGAGAGGCGCGCTGTGAAGACTCGAGACGACGCGGACCGTTCTGAGTCACAAATTGACTGGGCTGCTGTAGGTGCAGATGTCGCATTACCTTCCATTGAGAAGTCTTCGACACCCCAGGAAACTCCACCAAGAATCGTACCGTCTTCGATTCACAAGCAAACGTCCATGGATCGCCTGCGGAAATGGGAAAACGACTTCACGGGCCTGTCATTTCAGGTGTCGGAAAGCCCACCCGTTCGTACTCGGCCGAACCTCAGTGATACGCTCAGAGAGAAAGAGATTGAGGATCTCGCCAAACAGGCCGTCACTACAAACAGGTTGGACGAGATCCGTGAAAAGGATCCGAATGTCATTGTCCGGAAGTCTTCTCGAAATTTCAGCCCACTGGAGCGCAAATCGACGCTGCCGGAGTCACAGGACACGTCCCCCGTAGTTGACAAGGTGCACCTGAAAGATATGGGCGAAGCGGTTCCAGACACACCAGTCGTTGTTTACAGGTCATCCAGCGGTGGGACCGACAAGTCGAAATCCTCTCAACGATCAATGCCAGATTCTTTGGATCAACTGCAGAGACTAGCTCGAGCCGTCAGTACAACCCCGAAACCAAGTCCGCCAACGCAAGACTTGTCCATTGCTTTGCAAGATGCATCTGCAGTTCCCTTGCCACCTTCGGAAGATGACCTGAAATCTCAGTCTTCGCTCGCAGACCACGACGAGGTTCTCAACAAGAAGAAAGTGGCAGAGACTCCAAGGGTCATGGGTGCGTGGACTGATACCATTCTCCCGGATACTGTCAAGACAAGAAACCAGACACAAAGAATTACCAAGTATGCGCAAACACCTCATGTCAATGCTGGAGGCTGGATAGAGACACCGCTACCCATGGGAGAGCGGATGGCAAATGCCCAGATACCGAGGATCGTTGAAGAGGAGACGGAAGAATTAATGAATGAGGAAATTCCAAGCGACAATCCAGCGGCGGCTCACATTGATCGTGACACAATTCCACAAACAACCCCTGTGATTGAGCAGCCCGAGCCAAAAATTGAACCAAAGATGGAAGAGGCCGTTCTCCCCAAAAGCGCCCTAACAAATGTTCTCAACGAGGCCAAACAGAAGCGGCTAGTATCACAGGACATCCCTGATGCTCATCGAGAGGATACCGACACCCTTAACCTCGGAGACGCGACTATCCAAAGCTTTGAAGACCTCCTCACTGACGCCGCAGACATCACGGCGGATCTCACCAGCCTTATCAAAGCTGGTG